AGATAGAGAGAGACGTAGAGAGAATCCCAATTCTTTGCAACAACACCCAATTCAAACAAATAATATTTTTCGAAAACCCAAATTCGAATTCAAAGCTTCAAAGCTTTTTAATGATTGTCAATGGTGGAATTGCTGCTCTCTTGTGCAAGATACGTGGGNATCGTTATAAAGGAAGAATACTAAAAAAGGAATTTCGAGCGTATATATATACATATATATATATATATATATATATATATATATACATATATATATATATACATATATATATATACATATATATGTATATATATGAGAGAAGAGGAGGACGACCAAGGGCATTATGGTCATTTAAAAAAAATTTAATTGCATTGTTTTCTTGTACATTAGGCTCAAAAGCTTGGTTGTAGCTTATGGGTTCCTAATGATCGAAAATAGAAAAGCAACGTGACCCTAAGCTATTGAATCCTTCAGGCGGACCCCACTTCCTTTTTTTTTTTTTGGTTAAAGTAAAATTTTATTCAACCAAAATTGTATATTTACAGTCACTAGTTTCATTTGGACTCAAGAACTAGTCATCTCTATATCCTTCTATCTAAGAGTGTTAACTATGCAATTACATTCATTGACTATATACTCTTAGATAGGAAAACTATTTAAGCTATCTAGTATCTTCTTTCATTTGCTATAACATTGTCCTCTGATGTGCAGTTGGAGGCTAATTTCTTTAAGTCTCTGATGACTCTCTCTCTTTTCATTTTGAAATCTTCTAGCATTCCTTTCAATCCAGACATGGTATACTGTTGCAACAAACAACCATGCTAGAACTTGGCTTTTAGCTTTGCTTCCTTTGCATCTCTTTGTCATCCAGCTTACCTCCTCACTCCATGTTTTAGGAGCTCTATTTTCATTCATCCACTTCAATAGAGAACACCAGATATCTCTTGCATATTTACACTCAAAGAATAAATGAGCTAGTGTTTCTGTAGTTCCTGTAGAGCACAACACACATTCTTTTGGTACATGTATTTCCCATCTCTCTAGTCTGTCCACAGTTGCAAGCCTTTGTTTTATGGCTAGCCATAATATGAATTGATGCCTAGAAATTTGCCTTGCCTCCATAGTCAGATTTTTCCATTGATTTTTTGGATACTGTGGCTGAAAGGATAGATAGGCTGCCTTGATGCTGAATTTATCACCCTTGCTACATTTTTCCAGTTCCACCTTGTAGTTCCTATTTCCAAACCATTTCCTTGCATCAAGTATTTTCCTCACAAGCCAGCAAGCCTGTGTAGGTGTTTTCATGAACTCTATCTCCTTGTTCTTTACGTAATAACCATGTATCCATTGCACCCATAGTGATTCCTTCCTTGTAGAAACTGCCCATATGAGTTTGCATATGGCTGCCCTGTTCCACAAAGTATAGTCTATCAACTTTAGGCCCCCAGCTGATCTTGGCATACACAATGATTCCCAGGAGACTAGAGCTTTTCTTGATGCTTCACAACTTCCAGTCCATAGGAAGGTTCTGCATACACTTGTGATGAGTTGAACAACCTTCTTGGGTAATATAAAAATCTGAGCCCAGTATGTTTGCATCTCGAAGAGGATACTTTTGATCAGCTGCGCCCTTCCACTATAGGATAGAAATTTAGTAGTCCAGCATCTGATTCTTCATATCATCTTCTCAACAATTGGCATACACTGTTGTACAGTAATCTTCTTTGAAGAAAGTGGAACCCCCAGGTATTTAAATGGCAATTCTCGTGGTTTAACTTTAACTTCCTATTCAACTTTAACTTGCTTCTTTAAATACACTACTTGACTACTATTACTTTTTGGTTTGTTTGAAAGTAGATTACTCCTCTGTTCTCACTTTCACTGTTTAAAAAGTATTTTATTCAATCAGTATTTTTAACTAGAAAAATTATCTGTTGGTAACATACATTTATACATAATAATTCTATTATCTCCTTAAGAAAAATTATTTCATTTGTTTTATTTACCGAATATTTTTGGTGAAGAATATTAAAAAAAGTGGCAATCATTTATGTAGATTTTTATTAAAATGTTCTTATATTAATATCAATTGATATTCTCATTAAATTGTAATTACAATTGGAACACTTTATAAATCAGGAAAAAAATATATTTAAGGAATAAAATATAGTTTCATGTTCCTTTTTTATTAAAGGATATTGAATTTTGTTCAAATTATATAAAAGTAGAACCCTTTATAAAACATGATTTGAGAATAATATAAAGAAAAAATTAAGACAACTAATTTGAATTTTTTTTCTTTAATGTTAGGCAGCATGAGAAGTATCATTATGTATGATTATACTTTTCCCTTTATGATCAAAGTTAGTTGGGTACTTTCTCTGTTTTTAATAAAGAATTCAACATTATATAAGTTTCAAAATACATAAATATAAAATTAACTATTTTTAAAAAATGCTCAACACATAATTATAGTAAAGAAAGTGGTACTGCACCCTGGAGTATCTTAATCATATCAAATGAAACTAGAAAAAAACTGTGATAGAAAAATTCATTTATTTTTAACGAATTATCCAAATATGTCTTTAAACTAGAATAAAACTCACATTTACTAATTATTATTTTTTCAATAATTCAAAATCACAAGTATCATTTCAAAGAACCAAAAAAAGACATTTTTGCATCATCTATTTGGAAATAAATGAGTATATTTTATTATTCAAATTTTGTTTAATAAAAAAGAAAAGCAATATATTAACACAATTAAAAATACTAAAAGATTACAAATATATATTATTCAATTTAAACAATGAGAAAGTACATCATGACTTATTTTTCAACTGACTTTTTAATCATTTTTTATAATCAATTTTAAGTTTAGTGGTGCGGAACTATTTTTTAAAATAAAAAAGTGTAGAACCTATGTAGAAATACTCTAACTTGTACTTGAAGTATTGTATAATCTTTGTTATAATAAAATGTGGGACTTCGACAAGCATTACAAAGTGATTGTAGTAATATGATTTCAGAAAAATTAAAAATGCACATAACGCAACAGATAAAAAACAATATAGGTAAATATGATTCTATACGTTATCACACAAAAGCCTATTTTCTTTCTTCTTTCCTTAAAGACGAACAAAATGTGTAATTAGCAATAGATCAAGAATTATTAAAAGGAAGAAAACAAGAAAAAAAATAATGGGCTTTTGGGCTTTTTTAAGTTTTAGCTCGCGCCAAAATTACATTCGACTACCGAAAAAGTGTATAGTTTTTGTATATAACATAATATATATATATATATAATATTTTCGGTTAATATTTTTAGAGTGGGTTAATATTTTTAGAGTGGCTATACAATGTCATTTTTCAAAAAAAAAAGAGCAATAATTGGGCCCGTGCATCCCACGGGCTCGAAAGTCGGCCTTACTCAACAAGCACCTTTCTTAGTAAGGTTGCTTGTTTCCACTCATTGAAGATTCTATCTACAAAAGAAGGTCAACAGGGGACGGGGTTTCATCAAGCTTTCACTTTTTCGATCGCCATCTAGTATATATATATATATATATATATATATATATATATATAATTAAGTTATTAAAAAATATGAATTTAAATTATAAAACAAACACATAATTATTAGTGATAGTTTGGTGCTACTGGGACTCAAATATCGAGCCTGGAACCCATAGGTATAATTTTTGTATAACGCTAAAAATTGTGTATCTCAAAAAATTAATATTTAATATACAGAATAAAATACAATGTTGTTTTAATTTACAGTTGACGACATGGACGCGACTATACATCCCGGCCCTCAGACATAATGAAAAAATGCTGGAGAATTTAACAACAATAAACGTTTCAACAAGAGTTAAAATTTTTTTTGAATGAATTTCTATACAATCCTAACCTCTTTATATAGGAAATGGCTAGCCGGGATTTTTTTTATTTTATTTTTTATATAGTGCCCAAAAAGTGGGCACTATACGCTTTTGAATTATTGAAATCAGAAATTATTGGTGGGGCCAGGAAAAAGGTGTATAGCGCCCAAATACTGGATGCTATACATTAACGGCACAGTTAACGTTAATGCGCTATATATAAAAATATCATTTTTTTTTACACCNTGGGCCTCAAAATATCGAGCCCGGAACCCATAGGTATATATATATATAATTTGTACAATTAAGTTATTAAAAAATATGAATTTAAATTATAAAACAAACACATAATTATTAATGATAGTCTGGTGCTACTGGGACTCAGAGCCTGGAACCCATATGTATAATTTTTGTATAACGCTAAAAATTGTGTATCTCAAAAAATTAATATTTAATATACAGAATAAAATACAATTAATGTTGTTTTAATTTACAGTTGACGACATGGACGCGACTATACATCCCGGCCCTCGGACGTTGGATCTATTAGCCCTACAGCCCCAGCATAGATCCGAGTATATATGGGATGGACAGTTGCTTACGCAGACTTTCCGGGCCAGGAGAGTGGATCTATTGTGGGACTTTTTGAGTCATAGAGTTCTACATCCCCGCGTGGTCCATTACCTGGAGGAGATGAGATTATATAGGATTATTAGGATTGGCCGGATACAGCTCGACTGGGCTTTGATCACGGCCTTGATTAAGCGGTAGCGACCGGAGACGCACACTTTCCATCTGCCCATCGGCGAGGCCACCATCACACTCCAGGACGCTGAGATTTTATATGGCCTGTCCGCTGATGGCTTGCCAGTTTTACTGCCTGCGACCATGAGATATTATTCGCGGCAGTCTTATTGGGATATGCTGCACAGGATCACGTGTTTCAGGCCGGAGGACGAGACTGTAGCGTCTGGGTCCAGTCGTATGCAGTTGGTCCCCATTAGAGAGCACCTGGAGCAGATCCACCATACTATCACCGACGAGTCAGCCGAGGTGGATGTACAGCGATATACGAGGCTGATGTTGCTCCTTCTACTTGGGGTGGTCTTGTTCCCGAACACTTCGGGGAACCTAGTGAGCCTCCGTTTTCTGCATCATATTGACCGGTTCGAGGATACAGCCATCTACAGCTGGGGTGGTGGTGTCATCTCATATTTGTACAGGCAGATGTGCCGGGCTTGCATCGGCACACAGAGAGACGTTGGTGGCTTTCTGCCGCTTCTACAGGTGACAACATATTCAAATAATATGTCCATTAGTTACAATTCTACCTAGTTATAGTTAATCTTACACTTTACGTCACCTTTGTATGTTAGGTTTGGGCCTGGGAGCGATTTCTGCAGTTTCAGCCACCTCTACCACAGCTACCGGCTAATGTAGAAATTCTGCATCTCCCTCTAGCCTGTAGGTGGGTGATGATAGGCTATAATTGCATATTTTAGTCGCTTATTACACTCGAATTTACTGCACTTTAATTGAGTTTGCGCTTTAATCGCTAGTATTTTGCACTAATTGTGTGTTTTATGCCTTGTAGGTGTGATTCCGAGCTATATAGATGTTATGGAATGAATTTAAGTGATTCGAAGTTTTGAAGTCTGAGTAAAAGCTCAAGGAATTAAGCCGGGATCGTATTCGGGGATCAACGGATGATAAAACAACAAAACGAAGACTTGAGGAGGCATATTGCGCACTGTCTAGTAAAATAGACATAACTTTTTGCTCAGAACTCCATTTGGGCTCCACAATATATGGTTGGAAATCTAACTCAAAGGGCTACAACTTTCATGTTTTACGATTTTCTAAATTCCAAAGGGAATAGGGTGAAAAACCGCGGTTCCACCGCGACCGCGGCAGAACCGCGGTAGAAGATGGTCGCGGACAACTGAAGAATCAGAGGGCATGTTTGGCCGCGGTTCCACCGCGACCGCGGCAACACCGCAGCAGGAGGCGGAAATTTCAGGGACTTATGTGCAAAACACGGGATTTTAAGCCCTAAACCCTATATTAAACCAAGGAAGCCGGCCAAGAAAAAGAGGGGGACATATTTTGGACATAAATTAGACCTAAGGAGGCAGAAGACACTACTTTAGGGTTAGACAAAACCCTTGGAGGCAAGAACACATTGGGAGCAAGGCGGAGAATTCTTCTACGAGTTTTTCCTTCCT